CCTAGATTTACGTAAATCTAAGACTTCAATCTCCATTTTACACTGAAAATTTGTCGCATATATTGAAGTATCATCGATACGGGATTAACTATTGAATGGATTACCGGCCCTTAAGGTCAGCTAGGATTATCTGAGTTAGAATTACTTGTATAATTTAATGTAAGAATTTAAATAATAGGCAATACATTTTAATTGGTAAAAAACGTAACTAGTTTATCGTATTCCCAATAGATATAAATATACACTACATAATTAGTTTTTTTATTTTTTAAATATTTTTCCTTGATTGATAATGAATGTCTTTATCTTGATTGTTTTTGGCACTAGTAACCTGGTTATTGAAGCATTTATTAAAATACTTGTTCCACATGAATATTCTTTGTCTGCAGGATATTTTTACAAAACAAAAAGGTCTATTTGAACAATGACTGGAAACATACTCTGAAGTTTGATGAATAATTTTCTTACCCCGATTTAGGTTTTCACCATGAAAATTTTGGAAATATTTTTCCATCGTCATTACTTGGTCTACCCATTCCGATGATGCATTTATAAGTCCACCAAATGATAAATGTTTTACCGATGATGGTACAAAATAATTGTGAACATTTATATTTTGTTCCTCAATCATCATCACCCAGCCTTCATTTATCACGCGCACTGCTGGACATAGGCCTCCCTTAAACTCCTCCATTCTTTGTGATTTTGTGCTCTTTGTTGCCAATTTTTAGTGATACGCCTGATGTCGTCAAGCCAACGCGTAGGTGGTCTTCCTCTACTACGTTTGTCTGCTCTTGGCCTCCAATGTGTCCTCATAGGTATGCTTTCCAAAATTTGCGAATTGATTTTTATATTTAAATGCTATGAAACAGTAATAATCCTCGTTCTGGTAGTACACAAGTGTTGTTCATTTTCTTCTAATTTCTCTTTTAGTTTTGTGTTTTCTTCAAGCAAGTCCTCGTCTTTTCGTTTTAAAATATCTACCTCCGATTCTTTACTTGTACCGGATACATACGACAAATAAATGGTTACAAGATTAGTTTTTTTCCTTTTATATGAATGTATCTCTAATAAGTCTTCAGTGATAGCTGTTTGTGTTTTCAATGCTACTCTTTTATCTCTTCTTGGTGTAGGTTCACATTCTGTTTGTTTTTAAACATCTTGAAATTTTAAGTTTTTACTTGGAATTGCTACAAAATAGTGATGATAATAAACAGAATTTTATCAAGTCAACAATTACCTTCATCCTTTAATTTCAACTTGGGCCTATACAGTTCCCATTATTCGAACATACAATTCATCCACAAAATCATCCTACTTGAAATGATTACTACATACTCTCGCAGCTTTTATATTTAATTTGTTTTACCCATATTTTTTATAATTTTGTATTTTTGGGAGCCGTGAAAAATGCTATTTCTTGATCAGAATCAGCAGACTTCTTGTTTTTATAAAAATGATTTTTACAAATAGCCACACTACAACCTGTACCTGGCATTCTAAAATTTCATCAACATTATTATTACATTAATAGACAATGAAATTTTAAAGTTTTAACCTACCTTATAAAAATATATTCTTATGTAAGGTACTCTACAAGAGGTACGATGTATAACTACAATAAATAACTTTTCTTTGATAATTCAAAATAAGTTTTTACAGGAAGCCAACCCAAAATTTCAAATACAAAAATATAAAGTAAACTTAAATATATTTAAGAAACAGTAAATAATAAAGCAAATAATAAACTCAAAGATAATTACCACGAACAAACTGATAATAAATGGGTTTGTATTCGTGAGTACTCTGGTGACGTAAGTCAAGCATATAACCACATATAACTCTCCCCACCCCAGTCGGAGTAGTCAAGCGTAGTAAGTCTACGAACCGTGATCCTGGCTATACTGCGACAACGAACTGTTAAGGTTAAACACAGATAGGGCGGCCGCGGCGGTGTTGAAAGCGGTCTCTCGTCTATGGTACTTATGTTGTGCTTGTGCAACACAGACAAGCCGTCGTTTATGACTTCTGGCGGCACATCAGTAATAGATATCTAGTGCTTCAACACAGACGTGTGACTGTTTTGCGACGGTTTTATTTGAATACTTTTGTGAGTGTTTGCCAAATTTTGTATATATTATGGAAGCTATTGGCGACGTGCAAGTACTTGTAGGGGATACGGAAACGATCGTGCGCGAGTAGTGGAGAAATCATGCATTTTTACTGCACATTTCATAGATTTCATAAATTCATATTGTCAATTGTCATATTTCATATTCGTTTTGTTTATTTACACCTTCTGTCACTGAAGAAAATGGGATTTAGGAAATGCTGTGTTATAAATTGTAAAAATACAACAAAAAATTGTCAATTTAAGTTTTATTCGTTTCCACAAAGCTACTACAAAGAGAAAAGTGGATTTATATCATAAAAAAGCATAAGTAACATAACCTAAATTATGCATTATTCTTGCGCCCGATTTTAAAGTCAGTTTGAAATAAGTAATAAATAAAAGTCCACTTTTAAGTGTAAATTTTAGTTTCATAACACTCACTTAGAGTTCATTTTAACCCAAAAATCAAGTTTAATGTTTAAATTTTATTTTTTTGAAGTTTACAAAAATGCATCCAGTTCAAGTTTTTCTGAAGATGCATTAAGATATATTCGCTGTCCAAAAGTTTACAGGGAAAGAATTAATTGTTCAAACCAATATGATGATATCATGGGCTTAACCTGCTAATTTATGCATTAGCATTATTTATGGTAATTTATTTTTCTTAATTCTTCCACATAATTCTTCCATTCTTTTTTGACATTTGCCACTACTAAAGCTTTTCCCTTTGACTCAGTGCTTGGTTGAAAAGTTATTTGGTGATTTACTTTCTCAAATCCAGTTTTTATTATTGCATCCATATTAACAGTAATGCTGTAATTCAATAATATATTTATTTGTATTTACGCTACATCAACGTTTACCTTTTAATAACATACCGACATAACCTCAATCTTACTTTTTCTTCTTATTCTTTTTTGGGTCCACGTCCTTGACAGTTATCCGGTAACCTCGATCTAACATGAAAGCGCAGTAAATTTTTCTGATTTACGACACCAGGTGTCGCTGTTCCGAACTTGCCCGGTCCCAATAGACATCGATACATTAATTACCGAAATTCACACATGGCTAGCAATTAGGGATATGAGCTCAAATGAATATTCGAATAAAATAAGAAAAACATGCTTGGGAAGAGGTTACCCACAGTTTTGTTTCGGAAGATGCTTTTCTGGGCCATCTTTAATTTCGTTAATTAAGGTGTAAAACATTCCTTTATTTTTTCATTCATTTACTATAGGATGTATCCAATACCTGCGTTTCTTCTTCTTTGATCTAATATGATGCAAACTTGCACTTATTAGGAAAAACAGATCGTCGTCAGTTTCAATAGATGATTCTCGAGACATCATCATATCATTCTACGTCCAAAACTCGACTAAATTTGGCAACAACGATTACAATGGCAAAACTACTGCCACTGTTAAACCGCCTCATGTGTTTTAAGACGCGCGGCAGCCGACGAGGCGCAAATGCGGCGCAAGCCGCACTGTCTATGTTTAACCTAAGTTGTATATATTTGGCGTAACTCTTTAATACACAGTTGAAGTCAACTGTAAATTATTATTTTCAATTTTTATATTTCCTTGGATAATAAAAGTAGTTATTATTCTCAAAAACAAAATGTTTATGTAGTTTAATTTAAACTTTCTTGTATTAAAATATAATTATTGTTCATAAATCGGTATATAGTAAAATTCCACCTCGTTACAAACGTTAAATTATTGCCAAATCTGTAGAAAAAAATAATGAATGTCCTTGTAAGTGTGTTAAAAGCTGACGCAATTTTGTGTAAAAAAATCTAGTACAGTAATATGCACCTTTAACTGATAGCAAACGTTCTATTCTCTAGATAGGTGTAAATATAAACGAACTACACACAGTACAGAATTTTAACTTGTGGTGGTCATCGCTAGCGACCCTAAAAACAGATTGCTTTTGGATAGTGCATGCAGGAGATGATTAAAAATATATAATATAAAACAAGAAAAAAGAAACAACGGAAAATACAGAAATATTTAAAGAAAAATAATTGAAGAATAATGTGTAAAATACTATAAAAAAAACTGCTCACAAAAACTACCCAGAAAGTATAGAAACAAGCAGAGTAGGTGAGCAGCAACACCAGAGCCAATATAAAGAAGAAAAAGAAATTAAAGAAAACCACAAAAAAAACAATAAATCAGCAGGACAATGAGGAATAATTAATGAGCTCATCCAGTACGGAGCGGAAAAATACACAAAATTATGTATAGAATGTCCAGCAGCACAATAAACAGAGGGGCAGATTAAGAAAAACGAGAGGGGACAAGGTGAAAGAGGCTATGGAAAAGCTTAGAGACATAAAATAGAGATGGAAGAGTCATTGGTTGAAGGGAAATGAATTATTCAAATGGAACTACTCGACTAGTTATTGCCCGTTATTCGGAAACAGATAAAGGCTGAAATTCATTGCGCAGACTTCATTACATTGCGAACAGATGAAAACTCCCTTAAGTAATCTTCGTTTTTAATTTAAAATAGAACACTAGTGATCCACAAGACATCTACTGGTTACAATTTTTAACTGCGCTTAACAGAAAAATCGCACCCAGGCAATCATGTCATAGTCTCTCTAGCGCTATGATACGCCTATATTTAATTGAAAAGACGATGTTCTTCTTCTGTTCAAAGCAATGTCTTTGAAGCTACAAACTAAATAAGATTTAATGAGAGAAGCAGAACTGATTTAATTTCAGGTAATCAAGGTAACTGGCGCCTTTGCAAGGTACTATTTAAAATGTTTTAAAGAAAACTCTTTTTCTTTGTTAAATTATGTAAAGGTTGACGTTAAGGAACTTGTAGCTCAACAAAATAAGATGGATAAATAAGCAAGAATGTGTAGTTCATGAATATTTTCTATCTACTTCCACAATCGTGTAAATCATCACATTTTTAATATCATTACCACAATAAACTGTTTTAATTTAATGTTTCAGGGATACTACGATTATTATTATGAGTATAGTTAACACTAGAGCAGCGATGATCAACATGATCAGTTTCTTTCTTCTTACTTTGTTTTTCAACGTACTAGCTTCGCGTAGTTGCTGGGCACCTTGGCTGACGAAATCAGTGGTTCTTTCGACGTTGGCCTCGATACTGTCTATCACTTCGCCCTGCTCGTGCACGAGTGTTCCTAATTCTTTGAAAATTAGGTTAACGTCGTTGATGTCGCTCTGAAACACAACAAAGTGGATTCAGTATAGGACTTGCTAATGCGGTGTGTGAATCCACCTGGTACGATTTTTTTAAAAGGTCTACATAAAATACTGAGCCACCAAAAAAAATAATTAGAACAGGTGTTAGAACAAACCCGCAAAAAGTAGTTCAAATATAACCTATAGTGTATTTTTTTCATGTTCATGACTGTTTTCCTCGCTTGTTCGATTCTTGACAAAATTGACTAAGAGCAGAACTTGATTATTACAAACACATTTTTCAAATTACCAAGCAGACGACTGTATACATGGCGATCGCCCACAGATACATTGGAGAAAGTAGTCAGGAACCAGATAGACTACATTGTGGTCAAATATGCATATCTGGGAACAATAATTAACTCCACAAATGAGAAGAGTGTTAGTAAAAAGGATTTAAAATTGGAACTAAGAGTTAGGTTTTCGAAGTGCTATGTTTTTTTCGACTTTGTTTTATTGAATGGAATCTTGGACCTTGAATGCGACATAAATGAAAAAACTGGAATCATTCGAGCTGTGGGTGTATAGAATAATTCTGAAAATATCGTGGACTGAACGCGTCACAAACAAACAGGTTCTGAGAAGGATGAATAAAGAAATAGAAATTTTAAATACAATTAAAACAAGAAAATTGGAATAGCTATGATGATTGACGACCTCCGCCGCGGAGATGGCACTTGAAGAAGAAGGCTGTTGATATTTGCTCCCAAGTATTTTATGGAAGTTACTGTTCTATTATTTGTTCCTTGGCGTACAAATGTACGTTTGTTGGTATCTTTGAAAATACTAAAATTTTAGTTTTGGAAACATTTAGATGTAAACCGAACATTTCGCTATGACGAACTACCGCATTTATTATATTTTGTAGTTCTTGTCAGTTGCTTGCTATTAGGATGGTATCATCAGCTGATGTTGTCTGTGCGGGTTACATTAATCTTGATTCTACCTTGAACCTCTTCTAATACTTTTTTGATTATAGATTCCGAATACAAATTAAATTATAGTGGCGATAAGACGCAACCTTGTCGAACAATAACGCATAATGAATGCAATAAAGGGTTGGTTGAAAGTGGTTTATTAGAGTTTCAGACGACATTAATCAAAGACTATCAAGAAAGAATGATAGCATATTTATTTGAAGCATGTACACGAAAAATAATTATTTAGAAATTTGACAAAAATTATTGATAACCTAAAAATTTTTTATCCTGAGCTCAATTTTAATCCAAAAAATCTGAAAAATATTCAAATGGTTTTTGGACATTAAAATGCATGTTGATTTTTTTTAAGATTTTAATGCAAAGGATCTCTCAGGAATTTTTTTAATGCATTTTTTGCGATAGGTGACCCTGGGGCCACCTAGGAAGCTAAAATTTGGCTAAAGGGGTTTCTAAATATATATGTCCAAGAGCCTAATTTATGGCACATTTTAAGTATTTTGTAAGATACAAACTTACCTCTAACTGTCTTATTGACTGTTCCTGCTCTTCCAATTCCCGTAAATTAGACTCCTCCTGCATTTGCATTTGCCTCGAATTATTGTCTTGCAATTCTATAAGTTGTTGGTCCTTGGATTTATATCCAACTAGAAAATATCAAAATCCATAAACAGAAGAAGACAAGCATTCCAAAAAAAGTAAAACTTAGATAGATAAACTTATAAATAACATAAGTCCTGTGAAAAAGAAGAATGCTGATATCAAAACGAATAAAACTTTTGTAAAGTTTCCAGAATTTTGACCACTAGTGTATAAAGAATCTGTACAAAGAATAAAAAGAGTTGTGGAGATGAAATTGCACACAATTTATATTATTAAGAAAACTAGAAATATTAAAGCAACAAAAAATTAAATCTATAAAAATTAAGAAAAAATTTAAAATTTCTATATCAAGTAAAAAATTTATTAAATACAATTGATGATGACACAATATCTTGGGCCAATAAATGGAGGTTAATAATAAATCCCTCAAAAACACAACTAATAATATTCAACCATAGAATTCAAGATCACTCTTTGACTATAATCGTATGGATATTATTAATCTCGCTCAATGTGTAAAATATTTGGGAATTGAAATAGACAACAAATAACTAAAGCTAAACACTTTAGAAGTTTTGAGGGAATAATGATTAAAACTACTGCCAATATTTAGAAAATAATTTGCAGGCTCATGGTAGAATATGGTTCCACAATTTTCTATAGTTGTAAAGGTCCTGCTAAAAATAATATAAAAGTGGTTGAAACAGCCAGCCTTTGACAAATTACTAGAATGCATCATTCTGATGGCCTAATCCATAAAATAAAATGGTTTACAAGAAAACTGAAATAGAACCTATAAATTAAAGATTCAATAATTTGTTTAAATAATTCTCTGAAAAAAAAATGTGTAATTGATTGAGCCTCACATCACGAAGATACTTATATAAAATACTCACTATTGATATCCTGAAAGAACTCTATTTGAAGAAATCCTCTACATATCAAGACAATAAACAACTTTCTTTTAATATCTTTTCTTTATAGTAGTTGTAAGATCTCACATCTGACATTATTATAATGACCACTATTTTTTTTAATTATCATATATGTAGTTTTGAAAAAATATAATTGAATGTCTCAATACCTATTCTGTAAATTGGCTGAAGGACTTAGGTCAATAGCCTTTTGTATCTAGTATCAATAAAATATATTTCTCTCTTCCTTCTCTCTCTCTGTCTCTCTCTCTCTCTCTCTCTATTTTCTCTCTCTCTCTCTCTCTCTCTCTCTCTCTCTCTCTCTCTCTCTTTGTTATACAAATTATTAATCTAAAACAGCAAATAAAATCAACTAACTTACTTAAATGGGGTTCTCCATACACCTGGGCCTTAGCCTTATTAACCTGCTCCTTTTCTTTGTACGCTGTACTTCTCTGGACATTTTGAAACAAATTCAATGCACTAGTATACTCATCTTGAAGTCTTTCCCTCTGCATTTTCCTTTGTCTTTGCTCGGATTGTGATAGAGAAGGTGGAATATTGCTAAGCTCTTTGATGTATCCATTTGTATCCTTTACTAACTGTTGAGTGTAGTGTTGAATGGAATGTCTGAACAGAATATTTAGTACATATTAAGTTTATTACAGTATCTGTCAAAATAAACAATACTAAAATAGATCAATGAGGCATTTATGTATTCTTCAGGTCCAGTTTTGAGAAGAAGCTCATTAACAAACTTTATATGGGAATGTAAATGAGAAAAAGTAAAAGCATATAGAAGTTTGCAATGGTTCCTCATTTGTTTGTAAGCTGTCTATTGTCCCTTACAGTCTAAGCCATGATATTATAACTTCAAACTGTCAAAATGTTCTTCATTTCTAGACACTAAAAACATTTTTTACTGATTTCAAAAAAAACTTAATAGAAATTTTGAAAAATTGTCATTTTCGTCATAGATATGGTACTTTCTAGAATGATTAGGAAAAAAGTTAAAACTTTTTAACTGGAACTTAATCAAATTCATGATAAAAAACTTTGGAATATATTTCTACAAATATATATGGTTCAACATAGCAAAAACCATCCTTACATACATCCCAAGTGAGCTCTCAGTACAAATTGTTAAATTAACTATAAAGAAACAAAAACATTCTGACTATTATTAATCATGAAAATTCCTATTGTGATTATATGTGTGATCTACACATATAAACACATATTTTAAATGCCAATATTAGAATTTAAAAAATATATTTTTCTTACAATTGTTTTCTCAATTCAGGCGAATCTTGATGGGTTCCTATTTGATTGACCATACGCTGCATAGAAGACACTAAAACCAAAAATTTAAGACTTAAAATGATGAACAGAATGTTGTTTACAAATAATTTTGAAATATAAAACCACTCAAGATAACATTCCTCAAATAATAATTGTTTTTGGGTGTATGTTAATAACAAAACCAATATATTGTCTATATTGCATTAAATTTCTTTTTACTGTAGGATATCTAGGAAATAGGAGCATCAAGTCAATGATTCTTCCTTATATTCACAAATAACACATATGTCTATTTTGCAGGTTGTTTCTTTTTAATGTTTAGTATCAGAAAAATATCAAACAATAAAAACATCAACGCAATGATTTTTACAGGCATTTGAAAATAATGGATGCTTAAAATGAGTCTGTGTAGGTTACTTTTGTGATAAAAGTAAAACTTTTAAAGTACAGTTTTTATTACTAAATTTTGCTGAAATGACTATGTCAGCATTTAAATTTGTAGTAGAACTATACATACCATTTTGGGATATTTTCTGAATGCTGGTACCGATGGTCTGCGACAGTTTTTGGAAGTCTTGTTCTCTACTTTGACTCCCATTTTGATAACCCAAGTTACTCTCCATTATGAATATCTAAAACTAACAGCAAATTGTATTTAGCAAATATATGAGTAATTTTGTAGTTACCTGTTCTTAAGAGATACTTCTAATTCTAATTATTGAATTAATTATATTACAATAATATAATCGATAAATTTGACGTAAAATCGTGATTCATCCTCTAAAAACAAACTTTGACTTGACATTTCTTTGACAATCATCTGACTCCTGACTGGTTAGTACCAGTGGCGCTCGTTTTGAAATCCGAAATATTCATGATTTAAAAAAGCAGCTATTTTACCTAATAAATATTTATTTTAATATATATTAAAAACGGACCTACCTTTAATTGATTAAATAATTATTTGACTAATTGTTGTTTTTATAGCTCAGTTACGAGATATCTTATTTTGTCTGTAAAAATTGTTATCATTGTAGACATTTGGATTTGTTCATCTGATTTCTGATATGCTAGAGTTATTTCTTCTTCTTAAGGTTCCATCTTCTAACGAAGGTTGGATATCAACATGGCAATTCTTACTTTACTTACAGCAGCTCTAAATAGTTGGCTAGAGCTCAGACTAAACCATTCCCTTAGATTTCGTAGCCAGGAGGTTCGTCTTCTTCCTACATCTCTTTTACCTTTTATTTTGCCCTCTATAATCAAACGTAGTAGCCCATAACGAGGACCTCTTAATATATGACCGAAATATTCAAGTTTCCGCCTCTTAATTGTCTGTACAATTTCTTCCCTCTTATTAACCCTATCAAGGACTTCAATATTGGTAATTTTGTCTACCCATGCTATTCGTAGCATCCTTCGATAACACCAACGCTCAAAAGCTTCCAATTTCTTAATCTCCAGTTGTTTCAATGTCCATGCCTCAGATCCGTAGAGCAAGGTTGTAAAAATGTAGCAGCGCAATAACCTTATCCTTAGATCCATTCTTAGGTCTCTACTACACAATAGATGTTTCATTTTTACAAATTTTGCCCTTGCTATTTCTATACGGCTTTTAATCTCTTGCGTTTGTTCTGCGTTTTGACTAACCAATGTTCCTAGATATTTGTATTTATCTACCCTTTCTATCTGGATATTATTAATATGGAGTGTCTCGTTGTCTTTTGGATGTTTTGTAATGACCATAAATTTTGTTTTCTTTAAGTTCATTTTAATACCATATATGGTACACTTTTCATTCAGCCGTTCCAGTATGTTTGATAGACTTTGCAGAGTTGAAGTGAATATGACAGTATCATCGGCATATCTTATATTATTAATAATTTCACCATTTATTATCATTCCATCGTTACACTCTCCTAAAGCTTCTTGGAAGATGGCTTCGCTATATATATTAAACAGCAGTGGTGATAATACACAGCCCTGTCTCACACCCCGAAGAATTTCTATTTCTTCCGACATTTGATTTTCAATTCTTATTTTGACTTTCTGGTTCCAGTAGAGGTTCGAGATTACTCTGATGTCGCGACTATCGATGTTTTTTATTTTTAAAATATTAATTAGTTTATTGTGCTGTACCTTGTCAAATGCTTTTTCAAAATCAATAAAACATGTATACATGTCTTGGTTCATATCCAGATTTCTTTGCATGAGCACATTTATACCGAACAATGCTTCCCTGGTTCCCGTGCCGTTTATTAGAGTTATTTATACTTGCAATATTATATTTATCATTTGCGAGTATAAAGATCCAGAAACATCTAGCCTAATGACATATTGTAATAGATAGTATAAGTATATATATTGTAGTATATATTGTAACAGATGAATTAATGTGATTAACTTCGCCTTTGATGTTAGACCTATCAGTCCTTTAAATATGCTTTGGATCAGGAAATCTTATCATCGAAGACTCAGAGCATGTAATATAATGAAATATGGACAGTATAAGGAACATTTGTTTCTATGCTGTGATATGGAGATTATGCCTACGGTACATGGAATGTTTTAAACAATATGGAATGCTTTAGAGTTAGGTTGATCACAGTCTATCGCTAAAGAATTCTTAGCATTAAACTGTGGGTTAGTTGAAAGCATAGACATTTAAGTGACCATGTGACCATGCCACAGTTTATTGCTTTAAGGACAAGAGGTTTATTATATTCTATATATTTTTTAATGAGCGTCTTTACTGTATGGAGGTGATCATTGGTACCATATTTTGATCGGAATTCTGCCTGCTCTCTCGGTTGGTAGAAATCTAATTTTCTCTCTAATCTTGATGTCACTAATCTAGTGAAAAGCTTGTATATGTGGTTCAACAGGCTAATAAGTCTATAATTCTCTAGGTCCTTTCTATCTCCTTTTTTATGTAAAAGGATGGTTATAGCATTGTTCCATTCTTTGGGCACCTCTCTTTGCTGCAAACATAGATTAAACAGTTTCCTTAATTGACTTAATAGCATATCTCCTCCATTTAGGCACGATAGCTTCTATTACAATTCCATCCTCTCCTGAGGCTTTTTTTATTTTTCATTTTTCTTAACGCTTGTCGAATCTCATCAACATTTATTTCTGGCATTATTTCGGAACCTTGATTCATGATCTTCTTTGAAATGGTGGTTTGTATTCCTGTTTGATCTTCTCGTCTACTTCCATATAATTCCTCGCAGAACTCTTCGACGTCTTGTATTAACTCGTCTCTACGTCATATTATTTCATTTTGCTTGTTTCTTAATTTATGAATTTCGCATTTCCCATTCGTTAGCTTTCTACGTAAAAGTTTTAAGCTATTATTTTCCTGTACAGTACGTTTAATATTAACGGTTTTCAATTTTCTTAAATCTCTTCTGGTTGCATTCGAAACAGTTTTATTCATTTCTCTTAGAGTGTGGCTGTCTGCATTCTCATCACTTCTCATTTGGCTTCTTTGATCTAGCAGCGTTTCAGTATATGGACTTATTTTAAAATCTGATTTTCTTTTAGAACAGTGCACTCGGTGACTTTCTTCTCGTTCTTGAAGATCGTTCTCGGAGGTTTCATGCAGTAGTAACTTATTATTGATGTGCCTGATATTGGTTGATATCTAATGGGGGTGTCCAGATACCATGAGATTTATTTTTAATCATTATGGTTCTTTCTCTTTTTGTGTTGATTTGGACTTTCGCTCGTATCATTCTGTGGTCGCTTGTGGTGAACTTGTTGAGTACTGTTACATCTTTAATCATTTTTTTTGTCACTTATGATGTAGTCGATTTTGTTCCTTGTTCTACCGTTTGGACTTTCCCAGGTCCATCTTCTGTGCATTTTTTTTTGTAAAAGAAGCTGTTCATGTTGAATAAATTATTCTGGAGTAGAAATCCTAGTAGCGTTTCTCCTCTATCATTTCTTCCTGGTGAACCGAATTTTACCAAGGATGTTTCTAGCTCTGCTTCTATTACACCTATTGTTGCGTTGAAATCGCCCCATAAAATTGTAAACTGATTACGAGAATCATTAAGCGCAGTAGATATATCGTCATAAAATATTTCGATTTCTTCGTCTGTATGGTCTGTTGTTGGAGCGTATACTTGGATAATTTTTAGTTCATATCTACTGTTCAACTTCAGAAAAAGATATGCCACTCTAGATGATATACTTTGGATGTTTATTATCTTGTTCGCGTGGTTTTTATGGACAAAGAAACCTTTGCCTCCAACTGATGTAGTTTCAGGGCCACTCTGATAGAATATATGCCCTGATTTCAGTGTTTTTAAAGTTCCATCTCTCTTTCTAACTTCGCTGATACCTATGACGTCCCATTTAATTTTATTCATTTTAGTTTCCTACTCACCTGGGGAGTAGGATGGGTATTGTTTGAGATTTGCAAAATAAGGTTATATCGAAACATGCTTAGGGAAACATGTGGTATAGGTATATATACATACGTACATTCAGTATAGAATTCGTAATTTAAGTAAGAATTTATGTAGAATATTATTTCAAACGTCTGTATATTTATGTTGGTTTCATTGGTTCAAGTTTGATAATGCTTACGAAATAGATAAAAAACATGCTGATGAATAAGTTACTGTGATCGTAAAAGACAGTTGAGACACGGAATAATTATTTATTATTCTGTGGTTGAGGTAGGTAACTCAATTATATTTAATGGTTTCCAAGTTATTATTAAATCACAACCCTATTATTATTGCACTCATAGTAACATCACAGTTTAATGCTTATATTAGCTCTATTCTGTGAAATTAATAAAATACTATAATTTAAAATGTGGCGCCTATTCGCCCTCTGTTGGTGGATATAGACTAACCCCAGTCACACATTCGGTATTTTGGATTGCCTGTACGCAGGGTTATTGAATATAAATGTATACATTGGGGATTGATTTATCTTTGAATGTGATTTTGATTTCACCCTTTTTAAATTAACTACAATAAATATTACAATTTGTGTAATATACATACATAATGTATTATACAGTAAAAAATGAATAAGTCACTGAACACTAAAAATACGAATGATTTTATTTAAATTTTAAATCAGCACATCTGGTTGAAAACGTTTTAAACTTCTTTGTATATATTGCCCAATCATCTGGTTATGTCTTCTTTTCTTTTCTTTGCGTGTTGGTTTCCATTTCACTATTTCACTAGTAGTTCTTTTCCTGTCTTTTGGACACGCCCCGTTCATGCTAGCCTCTAGCCTCTACCTTTCTGCTGCTCATTCTCCATGTAGGTACAGGTACTATCAAAGAATATAGACATGCTTCTACCTATATATTATATGTTTCTTATATTCTATGATACTATATTGTGGCACTATGGAATATACTGAGTTGACTTCATCTTTTTATCATAACCAAAGTCTCACATCAGTGGATGTACATTTATTTCGTACGTATGAAATTCTATTGATTGATTTCTGTAACTAAGAACGTGAAGATATCCACCCGTTCAAAAGTATATTTACTTTGATTTGATATTGATTTTATTTTTAGCCAGTGTATAACATTTGCAGCTTCCAATTTCTTTAGTACGAGTGTGTGACTTTCATATCTCTAATCTATTCTAATAACCGTCGATTATATTCTTCGAATATTCTATTAATCTGTTACAACTGAAAGAGTTGTGTATTGTGTATAGTATTACCAAAGAATATAGACGCTTATGCGTCTATATTCTTTGGTATTACTGTGTTATTACATTATGTAATTATGAGCCTGTAATTCTGGCATTGTGGCTTATCTCCTTTTTTTATGTATTGGCTTTATAATGCCGGTCAGATGCGAATTTCTCAAGAAATCTTCCAACATACTCGATAAAAGTCGTTGTAGAAGTGATAATTTATTGATAAAAACAGATATAAAATTAATGCTTGCCTAAAATAACAAATATGAATAAATCTAGGTTTAACGTTTATTCCTACATTCGATTGCATATTTTCATTTTATGAATTAATCCTATTTTCTCTCTCAAATATAAACAATTTATTTATTTCTACATTTGTTTTTTCAAAAGATATTACAACAAACAAGTTGGTGTAACTGTAATATTGACATATTTGAAAAGTATCTGTCATTATGTCATATCAACTGATTGGCCAGATTGGGCGATTTATCGCCAATTGGGCTACTTTTAACAAGTCTTGGCGACAAAAAATTTAAGAAAATCGCAAGTCGCAAATTGGGCGATTTTATACTTTTTGGCGCGTCACTTTATATAGTTATAGATTTCACATTTTCATTCATTTCACATTTCATTATAAATACGTTTGTTGCAATCTCTGACGTCAACAACGTGTAAACGTTGTAAAATTCTGTGTTGTTAAGTTACCTATTTATGCACCTGTGAAGATGGCAACCTGCGTTGCTACCTAACCTAAACAAAAACTTTTTGGTTTTGTTTTTGGTTTGATCAACAGAGAATTGATGAAAGAAAACGCACATAGATAACAGATAAGTAAAAATAGTAGTATAAACACATGCTAAATAGAATTTCTGTATAAATTTGAAGACCTCAATTTAAAAAAGACACTTTAAAACTGCCGTCTTTATTGTTTCCGCTGAATAAAAAAAGTCACCAGAAGGTAGAAAACAGCAATATGGGTAAATGGGCAAAATATGCCAAAAAGCATAATAAAGAATGGGAGCAGGAACCATTATTAAAAGGTTAGTAGATATATTTATTGCTGTGTGACATTTCCGGATTTTTTTAGCAGGGCTTAATGCATGAGCACAAAATATTAAGTAAGTAGATATGGGATTACAGTAGGTAAAATTTGGTATTTTTAGGATGGTTGATAGGAAAACAAAAAAATGTAGGATCAGGTACTGGATTAATTACAGAGAGTTATTGTAAAGTATGTAGCATAGAACTGCGCTCACACAAAGCTGATTTATTAAAACATGCTGGGACCGCTAAGCATAAAAGTAACATGTCCAAAATAGATAAAACACAGCTGAGTATACATAGCTTTGGTAATAATATTTACACAGATCTTTGTCTTTTTTATAACCTTTTAATTTTAGGTACTATTAATCAAATAAGCCATGTACGTAAGAGAAAAGAACTAATTCTAAGTGCTTATATAGCAACTCATACCACAATTCGAAGTATTGACCACATTGGCGAGATAATAAATAAGATAAATGTCAAATCAACTTCTGCTAGCTCATTGACGCAATCCACCTCAAATGCAGCACAGTCAGAAACTTTAAAATTACACCGAACAAAGTGTTCTGCTTTAATCAAAGAAGTAATAGCTCCATCACTAATGTTTGAACTTATTAAAGATTTGGGGGATTCTCCATTTTCTATAATTGTTGATGAATCGACAGATGTTTCTACTGAAAAGTTATTGTGTGTCTGTATTAAATACTATTCACAAAACAAAAATGAAATTATAACACAATTTCTTACGTTTATTGCTGTAAAACAAGCAACGGCAGAAAATTTATTTACATGTATTTTTGATTTTTTTAAAAGTATTGACTGCAATTTGAACAGACTTATTGGTATTGGCACAGATGGTGCTAATAGTTTGTGTGGAACACATCATTCTTTATATACATTATTAAAAAAGAATTTAGGTCTTGATAATTTAATTTTAGTGAAATGTATTTGCCATACCTTACATTTGTGTGCTTCCAAAGCCTCAGAAGTTTTTAAAGACGAGGTAGATTTTTTGTTAAAAGAGACATATAATTGGTTTAAGTATAGCTCACTAAGAGTTGCTAAATATAAAGAAATTTTTGATCTTATAAATTTAAATGAAAAAAATAAGTTTTCTAAATTAACTCAGTTGTCAGCCACTAGATGGCTTTCTAGGTATAAAGCTGTTGAAAAAATTCTTTCCCAGTATTTGGAACTGGAGACATTTTTTTCCATTAACTATGTAACAGAACGATGCCACACAGTTAAAATATTATATGACACATATAAAAATAAAGAAAACAAATTGATTTTACAATTTTTATTACCATATTTAAAACAAATTTATAATTTAAATGTATATTTTCAAAAAACTGATATAGATCATTACAAAAGTTATAAAGATATTATGACTTTTATATGGTCACTGGTAAGGCAAATACTAAAACCTGGTCTAATAGAGCATTTAAATCTCGAATCACTACCAAACGCTTTAAGATATGATAACAACTATTTAGCATTGGATGATTGTGATTTCGGATATTACTTTCAAAAGGAATTTGAAGCTGAAGCAGCTCATATGTCTCCAGAACAAATTTTGCTTCTTAAGCAGAAATGCTTAGATTTTATTAAAGTTTTAATTCTAGAGCTTGTCAAACGTATGCCTTCCCATATAGAAGTATTTCAAAAGACACAAAATTTTAGTCCAACTATTATATTAAATCATAGAAGACCAAAATTTATTGATCTGCCTTTACAATTTGCACAAAACTCTATATCTGAATTAGAAGTTCAGTATAGAAATATGTTATCTGTAAGTTGGTCCGAGATTTTTCCAGAAGGCATACCTGATGACCCTCTTAAGTTTTGGAAAAAAAGTGATAACATTAAAAAATGCTGCAGGTGATTTGTTGTTTTTTGAACTCAGCGTATTTGCTTTTAAAATGTTAAGTCTTCCTAGCTCAAATGCCTTTGTGGAAAGAGTTTTTTCTATAATGAATTTGGTAAAAACCAAGATTAGAAACAAAATGATGTTGAAGCTACTAAATTCAATATTAATTATAAAATATCACTTTTATGTTAACAATATATGCTGTCAAATATTTGAGCCCTCGGATGACATGTTGACAAGGTTCACATCAAATATGTATGATACTAAGATATCTAAAAGTGAACTTGATAACATTGAGACAGATAATGAAGAAGCTCAAGTTTTTAACATTTGTGAAAAGTATTTGTAATGATAAATGTATTTTTGAACAAAAATTGTCAATAAATCCTCAATACCTTTTTTTATTACTATGTACATTATTATAATAAAATTTTTCATCACACAATAGTGTCAGCCATTTTTTTTGTACCTTATTTGCAAACACACCTATTAAAGTAAGGGCCGATTGTTCGAACGCTAATCAAAACTTTATTGTAATGAAAGATTTAATTAAAATCAAATAAATCACATTTTTAGGTTTTGTTGACTGATTTATTTTATTTAATTTTATTATTATGAGTTTTAATTTAAAATAAACCATAATTAAACTCTTTCTTATGTTAATTTCATGTTTTTATTTACAAATTAATAATAATAAGCAATTTTTACAGCTGCTGTGCAGTATTTGAGTGTAATTAAATATTTGATTACAAGCAAGTTTTGATTAGTGTTCCAACAATCTGCCCTTAATTAAGAATTAAGATAAAACGTAACAAAGAAAGTCTAGTTACTGAAAAGAAATACGAAAATATAAAAAGTCCCTCAACGAGCAAATAACTTTTTAATCTATTATTATTATTATGGTACAAAACAACAATACATATTGCTTTTAAAAATTTTTAGTCTTTATTTCTTTATTAGCAAAGTTATTTTTGTATTAAATAAAAAATATTTATTTATAAACAAGTGACGTATGACGTCATACGTCAGTGGCGACTTCTGTCAAAAATTGGCGACATTTCGAGATTGGATTGGCGACACGAGGAAAATAAATCTGGCCACACTGCGATATCAATGCGGGCGGTTGGTAACATGTGAAATGCGCGAGAGAGACGAGAATTTTAATTAGATGCACAACAATATATTGCTGGAAAATATTATTTTGTTGTAGTTTTTAAGTGATTATAATTAAACAATAACGTAAAGTGTACGTAAGATAAAGAACCATGTGAATAGTGATGTTTGTATGTGTATTGTGCGATGTAAAATTTTTTCCATAGTCCCACCAAGCGGCCATTTTTATCTATGTATGTACTGAACCTGTCAATGAGCTTTTGTGTTTTTAACATGACAATATTGTTAAACAACACTAAATTATATTTCAGTAAGTCATTTAATTGTTTAATAATATTACCATAATAATGGAGTTAATGCCATATGTATCCGCCTTTCTTGTTTTAATGTAAACATTTTTGTTAAGTAGTCATAACCTGGATCTCAATGAATTTTATGTCTACTTACCTTATAGTACCAATGATTTTAATAATTTTTGAATGTGCAATGGACTTCCAAAGATGTTAACCCACTAGAAATGATATAAAATGCTGGGCAAGTGTGTTTTTAAAAACTAAAAAGCATCACATGTCTCTGTACAACTTTCTTCACAGTTGTTTTATCAACAGAATTCAACCTAGATTCTTTCTTCTTACAATTTGTTGATCAAATTGTTTATAGCTACATTTACAATTGATATGAAACAAAATAATGTGAAATCGATGTTTATATTTTCCTAGAATTTGTTATGTATGTATATAAAACTAAATAAACAGAGTGAATATTTTTCAAAATACCTTGTTACTTAAAATTGGGCATTTTTATTCTTTTCTAAATTTCTTTAAAAGTTGTATTGTATTATTTGAATTGTTGTTTGTAGACAGTTTAAAAAAATGTAATTAGGTATATAGTAAGAGGGTATGCCTTAAAAATGCCTAATTTTTTGTGAATTGTTCTGACAAAGTAAAGGAAAGTCCAAAATTTAATGTTTTCTTTGATGGAAATTAGTAAAAGTGCCTAGAACTAAGAAATACAAAAAATCAAAAAAGTAATAGAATAACCTAAAAATTTAGGTAATAAGCCAACAAAATATATGCAATTAATAATAACAAATTAATATCTTAATAATAATCTTAATAATAACAAATGCAATTAAAAAATAATAAATATCAATGATTTTACTATTAACTTATGTGAAAATACACAATATTGTTGAAAGTAACCAAGATTTTAAATCATTCAAAACAATATGGCTGATATGCACAATGCACACAAAGTAAAATTTTATGTACATTTGATAATGTTGCCACTTTTAACTTTTAAAAAGGCCTAAAAATATGATTTGAAAGAAGCCAACCTAACAAAACCTAACCATAGACATATAATACAAGATAGACTGATCCTTCCAATAACAGCATATTTGTCCTGTGTAATAGAAAACTGGCGCAAAGCAGTCCCTATATCTCTGTCTAATGGGCCTAACTTATCGACCATGTGACCTCATTGCTCATTTAGGTAACATTAGAAAGAGAAGCAGGGACTGCTTTGCTCCAATTTTCTAGTCTATCTTGTGTTATATGTCTATGACCTAACCTAATGAAACTTAATCTAACCATATCTATTCTAAATCTGCTAACAAACCATTCATTTTTGTTAAAAGTTGGTAAGAATAAGGTTAAATATGGTTTTCCTGTATGTTTCCTCAATGAACATAACCCATAGATATATTTGACATTCAATGTAAGCTTAACATATGTCAATGTTGCCGTATTGTCAATTACTTCATTCTCTCACATCTAAAATTAAAAATTGAACAAGAACACTTAATATAATTATGCGATATGAAAATGACAAAAAATGGTTTATTTACCGTTATACCAATTACAATAATTACAATCATTAAATAATTCATATCATATTAACAGTTTTAGAACTCTTGAAGGTTAGTATAAAAAAATTAAAACCAAAAAAGGCCACTGGTAGTGATAATATCCCTGCCTCCAAGAAATTGTCTAGGATCACTAGATTTGTGGTTGCAGACCTACCCGGCATAAAGCCATGTTGTTCAGGAATAATTAAACTTTTAATTGGAAAAAATATTTTTGAAGCAATAATTGACTCAAAAATAATTGCAAAAATAGAAATTTTGGAAATGGGTCTGTAATTTTCTATAAATGTTTTACTACCATTCTTAAAAATAGGAGAAATATAACTTTTTTTCCACTCTTCTGGGAAAGTGCCTGTACTTAATGAAAAACGAAAAATTTTTAGTAATACAGGAGACAGAACAAAACTTCATTTATGTACAAAATAAGCTGAAATTTCATCAGGGCCAGTATATTTTAGATTTAACTTATTAAAAATATCTATTAGACTAATATCACAGCTGCTTAAACTAATTGTTTTATTATAATCAAGGCTTGGAATATCACAGTTATTGTTATCTACATATTACTTAGAGAAATGCTGTTTAAAAACATTTGAAATTTCTGATGGATTGTTTGACTCACTGTTGTCATAGGTCATGTTGTTTGGTATGTGATAATGTTTATTTTTAAAAAAATTGTTTAAAATCCTTTATAAAAGGTATATAAAAATGCCCCAAATGGGCTATCACAAACACATTGCAAAACGTTTTCGGATTAATCAATCTATCATCAGTGCAAACGGTTGTACATGCTAGTAGCCACCAAAATATATGGGTGAAAACCCTTTAAATGTTTTAAATTTGTAGTTGTTTTACATTATTAGTATTTTTAATTTGTGATGTTTAAGTTACCGTTGGATAGGTAACATGGCGGCATATGACTCTACATGAGTAAATTGGTCCTGAGACGAAGTGTCTACCAGGACCTGTTGATAACAACTGTTGAGTTAAGAAAATGTAATATATCATGTATTTAACTATAATATATAATGCAAATTTTATTAAACATATATATGTATCTTTACAGATATCAGAGAAGCATAGACATTTAATCAAAATGGACAAAGTTTTGATGCCAGTTCCTATAAAAATAGAAGATGATTCAGAGGACAAAATAAAGCCAGAGGTTGAGGTTATAGATTTGGGTATGTAGTAATATGTAATTAGTATAACTGATTGTAACATTTGAAACATTTTTGTTTTTCTTTAAATATGGGGATTGAATTAGATATCTAATTGCAAAGGCTAGTAATGTGTTCCTAAAAGATTAATGTAATGTATCTGATCAATGTTATTTTATGGTCATAATCAATGTAATTAATCACTTAGAACTTTTTAAAATATGGTTTCTGTTTAAAAATACAGTGGACTGGAAATGCAGTTAATGAGGAGGTATTGTGGCTAGCAGATAGACAAGCAATTATTTACAACTATTAAGGTTAGAAACACTAGTTACCTAGGTCATATTATGAGAGTGCAAAAATATAATATTACAGAGTTAATCATCATGGGAAAGATTCAAGTAAAGAGAGTTATACCATCTTGGTTCAGAAAAAAGAACTAAATTATACACTTCAGTAGTAGTAGTACTATTGTAACATCTTAATCTTATTAAGACCAAGGCGTTAAGCAACACCATACTGCTGGAAGAAACCAGGGGAGAGATTATTCGAATATCCCTAAGGATATTCAAGAGAAAAATGCCCACTGTTCCATCCATCAGAATAGTGCTCTTCCCGACTGCTCAGCCATGGGTTAGTTCCCTGTTCATTCTCTCTCTACACCAATCACAGAAGGGTACAGGAAATAAAAAAACTTTAAAGTCATAATAAAGGTATATTTATTTATTAAATAAAAAATAAACAGAATTCAAATTATGAATGTGAAACAAAAATAAATTAAACTGAGACTCAAAGATTATGCCAGTTGCATATAATATACCTATAATTTAAAAAAATACTCAACTTTAGTTCATTTTGAAGTAGTTCAGTTTTTCAGGAAGGGTTCCAATCTTTGTGGAAGTTAGCCGCTGTCAGTGGTTGTTGGTTGAGTTAAGGGGAGTTGCTGGTCTATTTAATGGCAATCATTTTCGTCCCATGTTGGTAAATGGGTTTCAAATTCTGTTCTGATGCATCAGTGGATTTGTAGCTGGTTGCTGATTGTTACCCAAGGTATTGTGGTTGGCTGTTTTCTAGCTCCCCACGGTAGTGTGGTTGTGTATTTTTTGCTCCCCACGGTAGTGTGGTTGTCTATTTTTTTGCTTCCCATGGTAGTGTGATTGTCTATTTCTTGCTCCCCACGGTAGTGGCTAGAAAATTCATACAAAGATCAGTTTTCTCCCAAAAGAAAAGACTGATCAGAAATACAGCTGAGTATTCAGAGAGAAACAATCTCAGCAAAATCTCTGATCACAGCGTGGTATTAATAAAAATAAGTTTGTAGGAAAAGGTTTTTATTTTATTTTTATTTATTTATTTTAATATAAGATTTAAGGTTTATTTTAAGAAAAAAAGTATCTGCCATGCAAAAGAAAACAAGTAATAAACAGAGGCCTAAAACTAGAAAAAGATACTTACTCGTGTATATGGCCAAGACACTAACCAATTTGTGTGACTATAAATTCATTAAGAATGATTGTAGTGATAAGATTGAAGAGAGCGAATAAAAATTCCTATTGGCTTATATAAAGTGGAACGGCTACTAAAAATATTTATAATTTAGTGAGGTCGCTTACCCTTATAAAAATGAAAAAATTATTTTGTAATCGTGATATTAGTATTCATCTACGAACTAGAATGTTAAAATACTATGTATTCAGTACTTTGCTTTACAGTGTTGAGGCATGGACTCTTAAATAGAGGAATATTAAAAATCTTGAAAGCTTTGAGATGTGGTGCTACCACTGTATACTAAGAATAAGTTGGGTGGATAGAATTACAAATGAAGAGGTAATACGCAGAATAAATAACGATCCAGAAGTTATTATGAATGTAAAAAAGAGAAAACTTGAATATTTAGGCAACATGATGAGAGGACAAAAGTACACATTCCTACAAAATAGAATGCAAGGAAAGATCCAAGGACGCAGAAATCCAGGCCGTAGAAGAATGTCCTGGATGAGAAATTTAAGAGAGTGGTTTGGCTGTACCACTAACGAATTATTCAAAACAGCAGTTAATAAAATTAGAATCGTCATAATGATATCCAATCTCTGATAGGAGAGGCACTCAAAGAAGAAGAAGAGGTCGCTTTGGAATAATATAGTACGGGGGACAAGTATCAAGCGGAGCTTGGTGTCACTTTCAATTAGTTGATTGGAATGTTACACTATTAGTAGTAATATTTATTTCTAAAATTGTACATACATATATACAAAGACCAATCCATATATGCAAAGCAAAACAGAAATCCTGTTACACATCTGAATTCATAAGGTCAATTATGTACCATGTATGGTTCAATCTGTAATAGTAATTTATGCACAGCTTTTTTATATTGAATTAATTTTGGTATTACTCTAATGTCATGTCAATTTATTAAAGAATCTTATGCAGGCATATTTGACACCTTTTTCTGTCACAGTCAATCTGTGAATGGGGTAAATATGCTTAATCTTACTGTTGTTATAACTATCTGTAGGTAGATTAATTTCAAACAGATGTTTATTTCTAAAGAGGTAGATTGGGTTTGTAACGACTATTTTGCTTACCACAGGGTAAGAATATGGGGGACAAGATTGGGCAAACAAAATAATTGAAACAAGTGCATACGACACTCAGTTGGTTGTTGGAGAGCTGGGTCGTGGATAAGTTGAAGATATTGGGGGTTAGATTGGGGCAACTACAAAAAAAAGAAATATAAGGTACTTATACGAATCTATTGGACAAACAGAATGAAAATAAACGGAAACACCTCAAGAAATTTAATATAGGGCGCCACTTGAGGTGCCCAATTATACCTATTACAACCACTAGTTGTAACTAGGGAAATAATTGTATAACATAAAAAATATAGAAAAAAATATCTTTTTCAAATAAAACTCAAAACAGATCAGAGAAACAAATTAAACATTTATTTTTGTCTCAAACAAAACAGATCAAAAATACATATTATAAAAGAAACATATCATATAACATAATACAAATAACAAAAACTTACATGTTCTTTGTTTACTATATTATGGCCAATTAGATTATAAAAAATTAAGGATCCTTTTTAATGAAAACATATAAATTTAACCTTATATATGAAATATCGTTTCTACATAATAATCAAATTAAAATTGTCATAACAAAAAAACAAATTAAGCTTGCTGTCAGGTATCACATTTAATTTTGATGACAAAGAATGAAAGCAATTATTACTTTAGCCAAAAAATATGTCTTTACTTTGAAAAATTAATATATTGAATTGTTACCTTAAAATTTACATATTTCGCATTTAAACTTTGAAACTTGCTACATCTCTGGTACTGAAACTGCAAGGACGAAACTCTCGAACAAGGGTAACCATTTCCATACTCAGGAACAAAAGAAGACATTCTCCATAATTTGGAACGCCGATCTGACGTAGATGGGTTGTATCAAACAAGAAAAACGACAACAAAGCTAAGGGACATCCTATATAATACTTTTCAAAACGGTATCTATACAAATCTTCTAATGTACTCCAAAGAAAAAAATAGAAATAGTGGTGACTCTTTTCTAAACTGACATATTACATAGAGTCTAATATTCTCAACCAATTTTGCCGGTCTCTTTACCGACAAATCAAAACGTCTTCTCCATTCGAATCTTTTCTTCCACTCTACATTGTAGCACGTCTGCCCTGCTTGGAACTTAAAAGTCGACTTATTGTCACATGTCTGCCCTATTTGAAATCTCTCAGTCGACTCTTTTATCACATGTCTGCCCTGTTTGAAATCTCTAAGTCGACCTTGCTTCGTTACATTTTACCAGAATCTCGCCAAAAATTTCCCTTCCGTCTTGCAGCTAACCTGTCCCCACAAACTCAAGAACCAAAACAATATCCCCTCGCTCGTATCGACAAAAAAACCCAACTTTTAAATGTTCCTTTATTGCCTAAACAAACAAATATTCTTTTTTTTGACCTTCGTCCAATAACGAAAAACAACTATAATATTAGGGGAATTCATGTTTATTTCGTTTTAAACGAAGAAAACAAATAAAACCTTTTTTTTATCAGGGGGCATCATAAATTTACATAATACAAATTAACAAAATACGTGCGTATTTTAAAGTTGAGTTTTACCTGACATAACAAAAGGTTCGATATTTGAATCTAAACACAGACAAAAAATATATCCAGTGTTATTACGCATTTTAGAAATCTAGTCAAAAAAACTTGAAATATTTACATTTAACTTCTCCGTAGTTGTATTAAATCGATCGATTTCTTGGCCAAAACAACAGGGACGTACCACAGAAACTTTTCTATACACTTTAAATAAAAAAAAACGCTACAATGCCCCTTCTTAAAAGAAAAAACTCGGATAATTTTTATCCAGTTTTTGATAAAGGCAAAACAACAAAAACCAAATCAGAAGATGACCTCTTAACTGAGTCGAAACTTCTTAATAATATTTTTTAGATGATGGCTAGCATGGGATTAAACAACAAAAACAAAGTTAGTTACAGAGAATGGGCTAGCGTGCCATCGATCGCCAGACTCTTTAAAGTCGAGTAGACTGAAATTTGTGACTCTACTTGGACTGTAGGTGACATGAGTTTCTATGCCTTGGGGGAAGCTAACCTTATGCCCTGCAGTGAACCTCGCTGACATTCACAGCAGTAACACAAGTGATTTGACGGGCAGGCATAGCCATGACACCTCGTTGCCTAAGCCAAGTGCTATACACAAATCCAAAATAAATTGCTTGACTCTTAACAGGTAGGCGTCTACTATCTCCACTATACGCCTAGCGAGACAGGGAATTCGGCAACGGTTCCACAAAAAAAATTAGGATATAGACCCAAAATCTATATACCTACATATGACAAAATGTGATTCTCACATGTGTCTCCCAAATGGGTTACCTGAATTAAAATTATCAAAAGTGAAACAATATTCCGAAGGGATGAAATCAAATCAACATATAAACTCGAAAATACAGACATGGGATAGG